GCAATGTGGAAGCAATGCAACGTGCACTTTCTGACTCTTCCTTTCTCCCATATACATGCTTAGAAGAACAGCCCTGCATCCTTAGGGAAACAAATCCTCAAACAGATCCCTCATCTCTCAAAAAAATACCTTCATCTTTGCTTTTAGCAGTAAGAGAGGATAGGTATTGATCCTTTCTGGCAAAGATAACTGGTATCCTCAGTCCATAGCATAAAATGGATGATGTTAGCAGCAAACAGTGGTTGCACTTAAAATAGTTACAAACTGTTATATTAGACAGACCTTCTTTGGCAGCTAGCTTTCCTCAGGCCCCATCATTTTAGCAGCTGGGTTTCCCTGCCTTCATTTGTAACTTTATTAGTAAGTAAGGCAATGTAGTTTATGCTTCATAATCATATTAAAATATATCACTTTCTAGAGAGTCCCTTACAGTAAACAAAGAAGGCTGTAAGCTTAACATCTTGTGCAAGGCTTTGTCCAGTGAAGAGCTGTTCCCATTAGGGGAACAAAGAAAAACAAAACATACACAAGACTATCTACCTCAGCTACAGAACTGTTGCAAATTACTGCTCTTAGGAGAGGGTAGTAGACTTACCCTGTCTGAAAATGCGTAGCACTACATCTGCCTTTTAAAAATATTGTAGGATTGAGCAGGTTTTTTCCTGTTACTCTTCTTTCTAGAATAGCTAGTCATCAACTGGAATCACATGGGAAAAGCAGCAGCTTTCCACCCCCCAACCTAAGCTAGGATCATATGGTGGTAATCCTTTTAAGTTGTAATGGTGCATGATCTCTAGAAAGAAAATGAGCATTTTTATATTTTAGTTTGAGGGAGTGGTAAGAAATCTGGCAAGTGGGCCTTATGGCTTTCTTGCTCATGGCCTGCAGTCACATCATTATCTAGTTTATATTTGGGAAAAAAAAAAAGTTGAGTGTTAATTTTTGGGCTGCTAAAGAAAGTTCTAGGCAAAGAGGAGACTTGCATTGCTGTTTTAGAGAGTTGTTTGATTGTTTTTTTATTCTGTTGCTTAGAGATTATATAGTCAATGGTTTAGGTTAGTTGGGTGGAGAATCAAATAGAAACATTTCTTTGGAATAGCAGGACAAACTTACGAATGTGAGTATCATTCCTTAACATCTCAGCTACAGTTGGAAAATTTGAGGAAAGCTGTCTAGCTTACCTGCTCCTATAGTTGATCCAGAGTGGTTCAAGTGACGCAATAAGGCATGCATGAATCCCTTAAGAACCAAATATGTTAGAGCAACGTGAGGAAGCTTTTTAGCTTGGTCATTGTTCCCTCACACCTGCTTCCTCTTACGAGAGTCAAGTTGTTACACCTGTCCATTTGCCTACTGGGAATTCCTGCTCGTCTGGATTGGGAGGGACATCTGGAAGTAGTTGTCAAACTGCTTCTGCCCTTCAATTCCATAGCTTGTTAATAAATTATAATTATTCTTACACCACATCCTACATTTATTTCCAGCACTGCAACTGGAAGGAGAAAGAGAAATCAGATATATAAACCCACTGCAGTTACGCAGCAGCTGTTTCTGTAATCACCACAGCATCAGGACCAAAGTCAAAGCAGTCCTGCTTGAATCTGTTGGGAACCAGCATAGCAGCTCCAGAATTGTTGGTGTAAACACCTTCCTCTAGCATGACATCAGACCAGGGATAAACTTGAGAGCCATTTTTTTCACTTTATAGGACCAATTCTTCCATTGCCAGGTTTATAATGTGATACAGGCCACTCTGAGTTCAAAATAGATTTGCTAACAATGGTTGGACGCTGTGTGGCTAAGTGTAACTGAGCGCTAAGAATAAACCAGCAGACTAGACAAGATGTAGACGCTTATCCATGATACGTGGCTGTTAAGCATCCAAGTACTGCTGTTGCAGCTTCCTCACTTGCTGCTAGGAAACAGCACCACTACTTTCTTCAAACTGCTGGTGGTGAATAATGTACCATGAAAATGGGAGAAATTCCTTGGTCCTTGCACAATCAACTAATTGGAACAAACACTCACAGGGTGGAATAAATGAGTAAATATTTCCTTGTCAAGCTGGCAGGAAAACATGTAAAATGAGGAATTCCTCCCCCATGACTGACTGCAAAACACCTAGCTTTCTCACCAAGGCTGTGCTGGAACACTGATTTTTTTTTTTCTCTGCTGCGGTTCCTCTTGTTTCCACTGGGGAAGTCTGCTGTTCCGCATCAAAGTAAGAGAGCCTGACATCTATATGTTTTGATGTAACAGCAAGAAAGGCATTTTGACCTTGTAATCAGAGAATCCTAGCTTTTCTTTTTGCTAGCATCTCTGGACTGTTTTTTTTCCTAGTTTTATTCATGGTCTAGCCCAACTTCTTCAGACTCCCTTCAGCTTCACTGGGAGTTAATTGAGAATGGAAATAATTGAATTGCTCAATCAAATAACAACTGACCGTCCTCAAAATGTTCTGCATGTGCTCAAGTGATTTGAGTAAGATCATGCTCCAGTAGTTTAAAACATATGAACCTTTGAAAGCAATCAGACTCAAATTGTTATATGTAGAAACTAATAAATGGAACCAGGACCCTAGCTTGTTGAATTGCTTTCTTAGCTCTTCTGTCTCTAGCTTCCCTGTTTTTTTAGACATGCCCATGCAGTTTGCAGAAGCAGCTGTATCAATACTAATTTATTGAAAAATTGTTTTGCATGGAGCTAGCTCAGGTGTTTTTATGTCCATGACATAGCTAATTTGTAACTGGATGAGCTGCCATGAATAACCGAGGAGGTGGCTCTATATGAGCTGATACGTTTGTTCATTCCCGTGGGAAATAAGTTTATCTTTCGAGCATGTCATTTGTAGGAGTCCATAGAAAAAGGCCATAAAATAGATGATTTTCCAATAGAAAAACACTTCCTCTTCTGAGATTATTTAACCTCAGGGCAGAAGAAACAGGGAATGCTGACAATGCTGTAAGGATTGAATGAACATGAGGAAGAAGAATACAACTGAAATATTTGTTGTGAAGAATCAAGAAGGGGCTTTTGTGTGGTTTGGTTTTTTGGTTTTTTTTTATAACATTCCATATTAGCATATGAAATCAGTTGTAGAAAAGCCAAATGTCTAAATGCAGTGATATAACTGCTAAGAGCAGCTGTTGCCCGAAAGTCATTCTCTTCTGTGGTGTCAGGGCTGCTAAAATTCTGGTAGAAAATTGACCTTGCTGTAACACTGTAGGCGATATGTCAATTTGGAGGACAAAGATGACTAAGAAATTGATCTGCATTTTGAAACTTATTTTTAAAATGGATGTTAGTATAAGTAAGTATCACGTTAGTCCTGATAGAATCATGTTACCATCCTGTTTGGATTATCTGACCTTCGATGCTTCTTCCAAGACTGCAGGAGAGAGAGAAGAGTATAATTCCATGAGGCCCAGAGGGAACCAGCTGTTCTAACATCTTAGGATAGGGACAAATGCTCTCATTTTTATGTTGATCCTGGAACATGCTTAAAGTGAGTCAGTAACTTATATTCACCAAATATCTGAAGTCTGATATGTTTTATGCCTTTATTTGGGTGAAGGGAGGGAACAGAGAATTTTGCATGGGTCAGAGACAGAATTACAGAGGCAGATTACAGGCTTTCAACTCTTGTTTCCCCTACAGGTTCAGTCAGTATGGATTTGGTAAAGGCTCTCTTGAGAAACAGTAATCTTAAAAGACAGAGAAACAGGCAAACACTTTCTTCAGATTCCTAAGTGTCTTGTATTGTTTCACAGAGTCAGTGCCCAGTACTTGATGTCTGTTTACTTCAAACTCAACATGTAGTAAAGCAGTCATGAATGGTCTGTGTTACTGGCAGTCTTGCCCGTTAGTGCTTGTAGCCTTTCATATTACATAGCTTGTCTTGGAGGAAGGACCGTAAAATTCTTGTCTTGTAGTGATGACAAAAAGACTTGCTTTCATCAGTGTTGCAGTGCTGGTTATGCAATACTGTTTCTTACTGAGCGTATGCAAATACTTGCATCAATTGCTTGCTTTCAGCAACATCCTTAGTCTGCCTTAGTGGTTTACAAATGCTAGTATAGACTTAACTGTTGTACAGCAACAACGTGACTTTGATATCTTTAACTATGGCTGTGCTGCTTCCGTGAATGGATGTAAGCTGCAAACAAAAAACCCAACATCTTTGGCAATTTCTTCAGCCAAGAGGCAAGGCCTCTTGAGCATGGGGCAGCAGAAAACGTCAAACCAGCTGTAATCTGTAACATAATTCAAATAACTTGCATTCTGCCAGGTAATTGATCCTAAATAGTTACAGCTTCTCATAGCTTCTTATGGCCTTACTGGTCTTTTTACACGACTACAGTGAATGCCTGCCTATAAAGGAGAACGTGTACTTTCTGAGGAACAGCTTCAGAAGGATTTTGTTGTGTACACACCATCTTTGCCGCATTAACAAACTTCAGTTCTTACCTGTACAGTACCGATTGTTGTAAGGTAGTACTAAAAAAGAAATAAAATTATAAAGTTTGGAAGGGAGTAAGAGCCTCAAAGCCTGAGAACTGAGTTTCTTAGATGTACTGATTTTAAAAAAAAACAGGTATAACTATTCGTCGGTTAACCCTCATTGATGTAACGCTCTTTTTATTTTAAGGCTCACCAGCAGAGCAGAAAAGCAGACCGTTTGTTGGCAGCAGGGAAATATGAAGAAGCAATTTCTTGTCACAAAAAAGCTGCTGGTGAGTAGGTATTTCTCACGTTCCAGCTCTTAAAATCAGTTTCTAGATTTGCATGCTTCATGTCAGTAGAATATTTAATTACTTGCAAAATATTCTTTTTATTCTTAAAATGTGAATCTGTTTTTCAGTCCAGATCAAGTACTCTTTTGGAAACTTTTTCTCTAATATGAGCAGCTAAAGCCAGACGTTTCCGAAGTTGTTTTGATTGGGGGTGGTTATCACTGTGAAGGCAGTTCTTGACTCAAGATGAAGCCAACACCTTGTGTCATGCACAAACTGCAGTTGGGGACCTGCTGTAAGCCAGTTTCACTTTATGCTTTGTATTTTCTTCACTGCTTTCATAGCTGAAGTCACCTGCTTTCTCTGTTGATAGAGGAAATACTTAAGACAAACGTTTGCGTACCAAAGTGTACTTACTTCCCTTCCCTAATGTCTGAATCAAGACAGCTAAGAGCAGGTGATGAGCTCAGCTTTCCCAGAACTCAAGCAAAACAGCAGATTTCATCGCAGGCTTCGACACTGCAGTTGACAGCCTCTCCAAAGTGAGACTTTGTGTGTTTACCTGTCCATTTAACTAGTCACGCTTAATTACTTGTGTTGGAATCCATCAGCTGCCTGACAGTGCGGCGACTGCTTGGCAGAAGAAGAAAGAGGTCTTAATTGATGCAACAAGTAGGACGTTTCCAGTGACAGAGCTTATGTGGAGACAAAATAAGTGGCTACTCTGAACATCGTAACCTAGATACCCAGGCATTCTAGAAAACCCCATAAAATGAGAAATTGATAGTCTCTCTGGTATTTATAAATACTCAGAGCAACGAGGGAGAGCACTTACATTCTAATATGCAGACTTTTCTTTTTGGTTTCCTTCACATCGTACACTAAGACAAAACCCAGAAATCCACTGAATGTTTATTGCTTTTCTTCATCTGATGTTTCTATGCCATTATCTTACAAACTTGCGAATTTAGCTAAGAATTTCTTACATCTTGTCATTTTCAGCACTAGCAAGATATGCTCAGTCTGAAGTGCTGCTCTGACTGTAAGCCAGCACCTTTTCTGGTTGGAGGGGAAGTTGATGAAAAAAGTGGGGAACTACGGACTATACCTCTTCATCAAGAATATAATTAAAAAAGCATGACTTCATAATACTGGTGTGCCATGGGCAAGAGGATTTTACTTACCACATTTTGTCTTAAAATGCTCGTATGTTGAAAGTCTGGTCCTTAGCTGTGTTTCTTCCCTTCACGGGAAAATTGTTCTGGGACTTTCTGGAAATGGCTGCTGTCCTCCTCTTAAAAACAAATTGGAACAACCCGAGCCAACAGGATGCCATGGCAAGGGTGTAACATGTATTGCATGATCTTACAGTAATTTTTTTCAGACTTTTGAAAAACAGCAGGTGTTTCCAGCCACTGTAACTTGGTAAATACGTTCCCTCTGGACTGCTGCTTTTATGTGGGAATTCAGAACATGGAAGGTCTGAAGCCTTTTCTTAGCTTTTATGGAAACATTCGGGTTTTGTAACCCTGTCCTAAGTGTTTATCAATTTTCTTTTCTGCAGCATACCTTACAGACGCTATGAAGCTGACCCAGTCAGAGCAGGTGAGACCAAAGTGCAGCAGATGCCAGAATCGGCCATAGCTCTCTTGTGTGCCCGTGTGTCATATTGTGCCCTGACTGCTCATACCCCTCTTGGGCGTCAGCCTCTGCATAGTTTTCTGAACCCATGGCAACTGCACCAGGGGTTTTAGGAGTGCAGTGATGCTAGTCTTCCTTGAGAGTTTTTCCAAGTCTACGTGGAGCAGGGACAAGAGAACTACTAAGCCATCCAAGGGTTCTCCAACAATGGTTTCTAGTCTGCAAGGCATCTTCAAGTAGGTGATAAAACTAGTTTCATATTTAACTTTTGCTGTGAGGCACTTAGGCTGTTTTGCTGAGACGCAAAGCTGAGCATCTCATCTGTAATTTTGGTTTTATTAATCCTGACTGGGGGACCTCCAGAACAACAGCCCTACACCTTTCCTTATTTACTGCACAAATCTATCTGTGAATGTGGTAGTCTGCTCAGCACTTTTATAGCAGCAGGCTTTGAGTTTAGCCAATATTATCAAAGCAAATAACCCTTGGAGATCAGATATCTGTCTTTCCTCCAAAGGGTCATTCTGGTAGACAAATGGTAGCTTCTTACCCAGGTGGTTCCTGTGAGTTATTAACCACAATGCCACCACCCCCTTCATTAAATATGGCTGAATCATTTGGGACCGTGTCTGGCCTTGGAACACTTTTCTGCTTAGTGTTGGGTGTTATTCATATGTCTACGCAGATACCATCACAGAAGCATACAAATAGTTTGTATTACTTAGCTAAAGCGTGGCTGTGCGTCCCAAGTGAATGTCTTCCTTCTTGGTGCTGGCCGTAGGTCAGTTAAACTGTTAGTGCCTCCGTTCAGAGGTATTATCACAGCCTGGTCAGCGACTTAAAAACAAAAACCAACCAACCAACCTGAAAGACCTAATGGTAACTCAGTCCTTCACAATACTAGTAGTTATGCTAGATTTGGGTGACGTATCTGAATCTGTTGCATTGTACAAGCAGAGATCGCTTCTTGTTGGATTTAGTATCTGAATAACGAAAGCTCCTCCCCCTCCCTCGGGCATGCCGTGATGCTGTTTATGTAAATATTTACATGCGTGCAACTTTACTTGCCTGAATATTCAGGTGGGATTAGGGATCACCAATTAAATTGTTTAATCTTGTTCTCACTCAGGCTCAGCTATCACTGGAATTACAAAGGGATAGTCACATGAAACAGTTACTGCTCATCCAGGAGAGGTGGAAAAGGGCAAAGAGGGAGGAAAAGCTGAAAGCCCAGCAGAATGCTGAGAAGGAAATAGCTGCACATCTTCAGACTTCTTATAAGCCATCTGCTGAAGACTCTGACGATCAAAACTTACTGGTTCCTGTTACTCAGAAATACAGCCCTTCCACAGAGAAACATCCACAGGATATTCAGGGTGTCTTTGACAGGGACCCGGATACACTGTTATTTCTGCTTCAGAAAAAAAAGGAGCCGGTAGAAGCATGTATTGGGAGTAAAGCTCCAAAAGATGACAAAACAATAATAGAAGAGCAGGCAACCAAAATTGCAGATTTGAAACGGCACGTAGAATTTCTTGTAGCTGAAAATGAGAGATTGAGGAGAGAGAATAAGCAGTTAAAAGCAGAAAGAGCTAGACTCCAAAAATCTCCAGTAGACAAGGAGTTGGATGTAGATGCTGACTTTGTTGAGAAGTCAGAGTTGTGGGGTCTGCAGCAACACTCAGACACTTCTTCAGCTGCAACTTGGCAGAAGTTTGCAACAACTGCTGGGAAGGCAAAGGACATTCCAATACCCAACCTTCCCCCCCTGGACATCCCGTCCCCTGAACTCCCTCTGCTGGAACTCTCCGAAGATATACTGAAAGGACTTATGAATAGTTAAAACCCAGGAAAAGTGCTCAATGTAGTTACCCAAACTTAAGAAAAGGGAAAAATCACCGGGACAATGGTGATCTGAGGGCAGAAACATCTTAACACAATCCTACTGTTGGAGAAAAGGCATTAAAGCAACATTGTTACTGTGAAATACATATGATATCTGATCTACTTCATAAAAGTTAAAGGTACCATAATCGGTATAGGATGGCAAACTCTTTAGTCTTTCTCCCAATGTTTCAAACCAAATGACTGCCTGGAGAATGTCTCAAGTAACACAATCCTTCAGGGTTTTAAAGTATGCTATAGGTAATAGTTATCTATAATGCCATAAATGATGGTGCAGAACCTAACTGTTATGGTTGCCAGTCGGCTGCCACTTCATATTGAAAAATGCTTTCTAGCATGAATTTAAACTGTGCATTTCATTATGCATAACTTTGTTAATTCAGATACAGTGCAATTTATACACCTCCTAGATGGATTTATGTGCCACGCTCTATACTCCTGACCGTGTTAACCTCAAGGCAGGGGAGATTTTAATTTCCATTCTATGAAGGAACCAACTTATTAGTTCTGCTGACGAGTTTTTTTGGGTTATCTGTTTACATAACTAATCAGGGTGCATCAAATCTAGCGATTGGTTTCTGTATAAAGTGACATTGTTTAAAAAAGAAAAATCTATACGTAAGGAAAAATACCCTTTTTGTTTTCAGTGATGCACGAATGGAAGTAATTCTAGCTGGCAGTATTTGATTGAAAAAGAAATTGTTTACAGCTTAACCTGATTCAAAAAGGATATGAAAATAAAAACCAAGGTGTTTTGACACTAAACGTGTGTTAAATCTCTACAAATGTTGCAGACTATAAAAAAACAAATCAAGTTTTATACTAACAGCGTTAGTACACACATACAGTTGAACTTCTGTGTTCATCATCCAGCAAATACGGGAAAGCTGGGATGAATTCAGAGGGCCTTGCCTATGTGTGAAGTGACTTGGCTGGTAGCTGGCTTCGAACACCTACAGAGCGCTGCAGCGTCAGAGGAAGCAGCACCACGCGTTTGCTGGGGGACCGGCTACCCGGAGCTGAACGCACCGCGCCGCGAGAGCTGTGCGTACCCATGCAGGGTTTTGGCCTCTGCGGAGGGCGGTGCGGCCCTCCTCACCCAGCTCCTGCCCTCCCCCACAGCTTACCTGAAGCCAGGCTTTCCCCAGGGGGGTGTTGCAGTGTGTTAAGTTAGTTAACTTTAGCTGTTACTGATTAATGAAAAGTATGAAGTGTTGCAAGCTACCCCCTTTTAAGTTACTCTTGTGCTGTTTGTTACAAGGTAAGCTTGCTATCTAAGGGTACATTTTTCTTCCAGAATAGACGTGGAATTGTGGCCAGAACACCTTACTGCTGTGCAAATTCTCCCCTTACCTCTGTATACCTGGTGTCTCCTGTGCTTGCTTGAAGGAGAGTAGGGACTGGAGGCTAGAAAAAGCCTATGGAAACAAAGGTAAGACAAGTTCATTAGAGGAGGTCCTAACTTACTGTGCTGAACTGTAGCAGGAAACTAATCTTGCTGGGGAAAAAAAGTTATTTTTCAGTTGGAGCAGTTTAGCACCTGGCCCCGCAGAACAGCTGCGATGAGGTAACCTGGGTCCAGGTCAGCCCCAGCTCGCTGCTCCCGCAAAAGGGCAAATGACGTTCTCCACCGTCACCTGCCTGGCTGGCTGCTACAGGTAACGAGGCAGTGGAGCGTAGCGTTTCTATGCATGTAAGTAAAGCAAAGAATGCTTTGTGCTCACAAGAAGGAACTAAAATTGTTTAAGCACCTATCTCATGTCGCTGCCAGGGATGGTAGCCAAGGGCTGTTAGCTACAGACAGACATTTCAGCTCTCTCTGCAAACAGCAGCTATAGGAGAAGGAAGCAATTTTTAGCCTGGCTACCTCTGCTGAAGAGTCAGGATTTTTCCGAGGGCAGGGGGGAGGTAGGGGAACTGCAAGCTCTGCCTTCTGTTTTTAAGACTGAACTGTCCCTTCATATACAGCTGCATAAACAAAACACCAGATCCGAAGGAAGCTGCTTCTCTGTAGGAAGATAGCCAAGCAGGAGCAAAACTCTGTGATGCTACTTCTGAAAGTAGTGTTAAAACTTTCCTCTCTCCTGCAATGCAAATGTTTGTTCTTGCAGTCTGCCTACTCAACACATGACTGCTGCTGAAATCAAACTCCAGGCAGTGTGGCTTAGCACGAGTTTTCCACTCCCGTGAGTGATGCAGAAAGGAAAATGAATGGGCGCAACGTTCACGTTAATAGGATAGGAGTGCTGAGCTGCAGTATAAGCACTGCCAGCATTACTGCTAGCGTAACGCCAGCCCCAGGGAGGTGATGTGGAAAGCTGAATACCTCTGTGTAATACAGAGACCGTCCTAGAGCTGGAGCAGGCGACACCAGTGAGGAGTCAGCCCGTGGCCTGGTGCGCAACGCAGGTGCTCCTGCTGA